AGTTTTCCTTTCTCTTTGGAGTGTTACAAGCTGTTCGTGAATAGATAAGATCTGTAAAGTTGCAAAGGCTAAAGTCTCAAACCCAAAGAGATATTCTTTATAAAAGACTCGTCCACGCCCTCATCCGTATTTATGTCCCCACTGGATGCAACAAACGCCTCGTTTATAATGGGTTTTAATGTTTTTGTCTCGTCGCGCCTGGACACTGCATCACAGTATGGTGAGGGGCGTAACATTTCCGTCACACGCTTGAGGTATTCGGCCAATCACAACGCACTGGATAGCTGGCCAATCACAGCACACCTCGCTTTTCAGACCGATGAGCTTTGTAAAAAACGACAAAAGGCGGGGCATACAGGAGAAACAATAATGTACAGTATGTGGAAAATAATGTGTTTTTTTAACCTTAAACCACATAAACACATTTCATTACACCAAATACACAAAATAATGTTCTTTTTAGCAGCATCATATGACCCCTTTAAGAAGCTGACTCATGATGTTCACCTGGCAGACAATAAACGTGAAACATAATGGAACTGACATTGAAAGACACCTCCTATCAAAGTATAATTTTAAATATTTTAAATATAATAACAACATTATTATATTATAAACAAACATTATATATAAATGTAATAGTACAACTTACTGCTGTTAAATCGTATGAATTTGAAGCTATGTAATTTGTTGAAACTGATATTTATTCTCAGAGAGGTTTTTCTACTGGATAAATACAAATTAAATAATATATTAATGATACAATGGCAGTAAATCATATTACATTTTGTACTGACAGTATAACAGAATGATCAATAGAACTTTAGATTGATAAATATATTGACAGACAGATAGACATATGGATAGAACGAACGATAGAACGGATGGATGGATGGATGGATGGATGGATGGGTGGGTGGGTGGATGGATGGATGGATGGATGGATAGATAGATAGACCGCATAAGCAGTGACACATTGTTAATTTCTTCAGGATTAAGTCTGCATCACTGTTCTTTGGTGAGAAGAGGTGTCTAGTGAAATTAAGGTTATACAAAAAAAAAAACATGATTCATCTCATGAGTCACAAGATGAGTTCACTATTCACCCACAAAAAACGTCAAGGCTCTGAACAAAGCCTGCAGGATGCCATGTATGAGAGAACGTGCACACCACCCCTCAAAGAAGTACCTGAGAAAGCAAAAAAGAAATTGCATCCTTTATAAGTGTCTCTTTGTGTACCGCTACATCTCTCCTCCCACTACAGGCTTTTTGTTTGGATGCTTACAAAAGATTATCTCTAAGAAAGAGGGGAGCTCAGAAATTGAATAAGTATTGGAGAACTAAGAGAGATAATTCTCTTCTCTGATGACCTTGTTCCACAATTTTTTTATCAATCAATCTATCTATCTCTGAGATAACAGACTGCCTATTTCGTGTCTAAATCTACCGGAAGTAATATTGGCATAGTAAAATGAACATGTTCTTGACTCACTATGTAACCTTGCGGTTTCACTTTATTTTGATGGTCCCTTTAACACATTATGCTAACTATAAGTAATGTTGCACGTACATATCTCAGAGTGTTAGTAGAGTATTAGTAGACTGGTAGGGTTAGGGTTAGATTAAGTTGACATGTACTTGCAAAGTTACTGATAGTGGAACGTCTGTTGGGAGACCATCACAATAAAGAATTAACAGATATTAATCACACAGGCTACTAATACTCTAATGAGTTAGTTGACATGTAGGTGTAGTGTTACTTATTGTCAACAGAATGTTCAAAAGGGACCATCAAAATAAAGTGTTACCAACCTCACTATTACAACTATATGACTAGAATAAATGTGTGTATATATATAGTATTTATAGAGTTTTAGCATTTAGTTTTAATTACTTTTTCTTATTTGTAAGTCGCTTTGGATAAAAGCGTCTGCTAAATGACTAAAAGTAAAGTAAAGAAGAAAACTGGATTGCAACAAACAAAATGTTTTTACATTAAAGATGAAAATCGGATTCTCACTAAATTAAACATAATGCAACAAAAACCTGGCAGACTACAGTTGTAATGTAGCATACTATGTTTGTCATTGCATTATAAACTTCCCATATGTTTCTTTTTTTAAACAGGCAGTGCAATATGCAGTACTCTAGTATTCCAGTCCAAACACTGGCTGAAAGTCCTTTTGTAGAGGGAAGTGACTAATCATTGAGCAGATGTTCAGTTTGACCAGTTTTTTAAAGATTTTAGCCTTACAAAAGTGTTACAAAACCCTCCATTGATTGGACCAAAGGTATTTCAGACACAAATATTTAAACCTCCAGTCTTTGTTAACCAAGTACAAAGCTTTACCATTGCTAAGGACCTATCTTTCACTGTTCAGAGAGACATTCATGAAGAACGTCTGAGTTTTCATGAGCTTGTCATCCTTAAATTGTCAACTAGAGTTTACTAAAGTCTCACTGTTGGTTCTCAGTTCAGCTGCAGGACTCATCATGAATAATTTCATGTGGTTAAAGGAGGACACTTACAAATCAATTCCATCACAGCACCAGACATGTAGTGTGAGATTACAAGGAACTGGAACCAATCCAATCAAAAAACACCCGAGAAAGGCTGTATAAACAGCTTACTGACACAATTCTACATTCATATCAGAAACAAAGTGGTTGATATAACCAAAAAGAATGGTGGTTGTCATTACACAAAATAATCATTTATTCAACGAAAAAAAATGTAATTTATGCTGCGAAAATTACAATGCATGAGGAAAAAAAGCTTTGCACTGTTTCAAGGATGTGCCAAAATATCCCGCAGTTTTTAATCCATAATCTTGTGAATTATAAAGGCAAATACAAAGATGAAAAAGCTGTAAAAATTTGCATATTTCACTGATGAATTCAACCTTAAAAAAACATGTTATATTAATATCAACATATGTACATCTTGCGTTTGAAGTGTTGTGGCACTGCTAACTCATGAAGGAGGGTCATCTCCATGAATAGCCTTATATTTAGCCATCTCTTCAGGAAAAACCTTGCCCAGCTCAGAAATGAGAAGGCTTTTAAATTTCTGCAGAAAAAAAAAAGAAACCGTAAAAGAAGGTTAGATGAAGATCCTTTGTTTTATTCAAAACATACCAGGAAATCATCGATCCACAATAGAAATCTAAAAAACAAGGGGAACTGTCTAGCATTTTTATCCTAAGATTTCTTTAACACACACACTCATATTATAGATTTACAAAGAAATAGACTATTTTCAATTCTTAAGTTCAGAAATAACATTATAGAGGTCAAATATGTCAGTGCTGCAACTTTATTCTGATAACACTGGGGGGGAAAAACGTGGAAAAATAAGAAGGGTCGATCAGACCAAGAATGATAACTAAAATTATCACTATAAGCAGGAGGGGTAGACTCTTTGCAAACATATTATGTCCTTTTATAACAAATGACCTGCTAGCACTCCCAAATTAGTCAGTAATTCATAGTGATGGTAAAGCTGAACTCTGAATCCAAATGCTGGACCAATACTCACAGTCAATGTGTCAATCTTTCCTTTGACCTGCTCATTTTTAGCCAAAGCTCTTTCTAAGCACTCCTTTGTGTAGAGTTGAGGGTTACGACCCTGATCAATATACCTGTGCAAAACATCAATAATTAGTAATGGCTATTCATGTCTTTACACAGATGTTACACATCACATTTCTTGAATATAACAATTAAATGGATAATGACAATCTAAACAGAGTAGAACTGAAAGTAAAAGAAGGGTAATTTGATAAAGAACATGCACTCTTTAAATGCTTGTCATCTGACTACCGTGAATGAACAAAACCATTAACATTAATTTTTCACGAGGTTTGTGCAGCTAGAAATATTTATTATGCATATCTGTTATGTAATGTAATACTTACTCGAACACTTCCAACGGTACGTTGATATCATGAAGCTGCTGTCGGCATTTCTCAATGTCCTGCAGTCCTGTGATCATAAAGTTCCTGAAGAAATAAATAACCAAAACATTTTAACAACACTACTGATAACAAGCCAAGAAAGGCTAAAGCTCAAAATCGCCATTATTTCCCAGATATTATTTGTTTAAACCCAACATATGTTTTTAGAATCGTGTTGAAATGAACAGAATTACAACTCACAGTTTCTGGTTGAGTCCCGTTTGACTGCTGGGCTGGAAATCGCTGACAATAATTCCAAGCTGTCGTATGTTTTCGACGAATTTCTCGAGGTGTTCTTCGAGATTATCAAACTTTTCGGCCATGACGTGCTGTATTTTACATAAAGGTAAGCGTACGATTGATTTAATTGGGATAAAACTAGAAAATCATTAACAAAAGACGGACATCTGTTCAACCAACGCAGCTTCCATGACAGCGAACAGCTTTCCGGCTGAGTTTCACCCAATAGCGTGCGAGAATGGACTGTTACCCTGGTAACGGAATTCTTCGTTGTGCTGTAAAGCGTTTCGAAATGCTGCAAAGTCACTGTTGGAAAACAACCTATGCATTGGATGATGGCTCGTTCAAACACGAACGATTTTACACATACTCATGTGAACTGCTGATGCATTGACCTTTTCAATACGAGGTTTGAGAGAAGTGGGTGTATTGATTCATTGCCAGCTGATGCATGAGAAGCTCGATCCCCTCCCCGCTAAACGTTAGGGCAAAACGCATTATTTATTTATTTATTATTTTTTATTAATGTGGATGGCATCTTACATATTATATTACAGCGAATGTAGAAAAAGCCAGAGAGAGACAAACAAATACATTAAGTTGTACAATGACACTAAATACTGTTTCTGGGATTTTTCCTGATGTAAGTGATCGAAATGAACTATAATACAAATACAAAAATTACATGTATGTTAAAAAGTAATATAAGAACAACAACAATTAAATGGACAATATGCCAAAATTTGCAATTTCTTATAACAGGGTAAAAGGTGTACTAACACTAAACGCGTCGAGCAGAGCGTTATTTATTTTATCCGGCAGTATTCAGACAAGCCCCGCCTCCCACGGCAGGATTGGCTAGTGTGAGCTCCTCACCGCCACCGCCGGTCTGTGATTGGACAGTTTAGAAGTCAATCACATAGCACATAACTCCATCACAGGCTCTGATCCATCAGACAGCGAGCAGGTCGAGGGCGGGACTTGTCGGAAAACTGGTGTGAAGGAAAAAAATAACTCGTGCCGGACCCTTGATTACTCATTCCGTCCAGGTACAGCGGAAGTCAACCGACCTGCGGTGCTCCGCTCCCGCTACTCTTGTTTGCGTGCGCCAGATTCATTTCGGGCAGCCCTATCGTGCCTCTTGCAGCAGCCGCGTCTGTGCCTCATAGGGAATTAGAGAGTTGTGGGGATGCGTATTAAATGAGCGCTCTTGTGTTTCAGTGCAGTCGCGCGGGGAAATGATGCATTGAGGACGGGCTGCTCTGCGGGCGTTTTATCTTCCGAGCTCCGTTACACCCACCGCGAACGGCGAAGCACCTCAATGGCTACTCTTTTGCGAAAAATCGGGCTCATTCGCCTGCACGACCGAGACACGGAGGACCCGAAGCATCACCACCAGGGCTCATTGAAAGGGACTAAAGGCAACCAGAAAAACAACAACACGAAGCACTGCAACACCAGCAACGAGACCAACAACATCCTCAGCACGCCCGAAATCAAAGCCAGGCGCTTCGACGTGTCCGGCAAGGACAAGCCAGCCGTCAAACCGGACAAACCGAGCAAGGACACGAATGAGAAGCAGCAAACGGGAGGCGGCAAAGCGACGAGCGGCTCCGTGATGCCCCCGCCGGCGGCGAACCGGCAGCACTGCACCCAGGTGCGGACGCGGAGGCTGATGAAGGAGCTGCAGGAGATCCGGCGGCTCGGCGACAGCTTCATCACGGTGGAGCTGGCGAACGATAGCCTCTTTGACTGGAATGTCAAGCTGCACCAGGTGGACAAGGACTCCGCGCTGTGGCAGGACATGAAGGAGACCAACACCGAGTACATACTGCTGAATGTCACCTTCCCCGACAATTTCCCCTTCTCCCCGCCGTTCATGCGCGTCCTGACGCCGCGGCTGGAGAACGGATACGTGCTGGACGGCGGCGCGATCTGCATGGAGTTACTAACGCCCCGCGGCTGGTCGAGCGCGTACACCGTCGAGGCCGTGATGAGGCAGTTCGCTGCCAGTCTGGTGAAAGGACAGGTGAGGATGGGTTCTTGCCATAGCGGCGTTGATTTCTTCACATCTCATGTTTCTTGACGCCATCCTCCATCTTGGCATTGGCGCACAGGTGAATCGCGTGAAAACACGCAACATCCATTCAATACGGGTCCATATGATAGTGTCTGTTACATATATTGCGTGTGAGTGTAATTACATAGTAATACACACTCAGAAATATACTCATCTTCATGTCGTCCAAGATATGTGCCACTGTCTCCATTCACCTTCATTGCATCTTTTTCCCTACAATTAAAGTAAATGGTGGCTGAGGTTGTTTTTGCCTTCCATGGAAGAAAACCTCACAGGGGTTTGTACTTGAGGTAGAACTGTCTTTTTTTTAACGATTTACATCTTCAGCAAAGAACACTTTTTATCAAGATCCATTTTGCCCTATATAGGGTGCTTCAGTTGGCTGTAGGGTTCTTGATGTTTAGGGTGTAAAGATTCTTGATGTTTATTTAGAGGTTCTTCTGATCAGTATTTGGCATCATCCATTGCCAAAGCAAAGCAAATCTCTCTTGGGTTTATTGAAGCAATAGTACATATGCAGTTATCTAAAGATCATAAAAGATTATCATATTGCACTGTAGCAACTAAAAAAAGGGGACTCTTATGTCATCAGGCTGTAAAACCTTTTTTGGCAGGACCTTTACTTTTAAGAGTGTATAGGTAACCAAAATAAGGGTTTCATGACCACACATTGCTTTAGTTGTGCTTTTGTTTTTTTAGTGTGTTTTCTATTACATTTAAAATGCTACACGTCAAAATGAGTTTTTTTTATTTTTTTATAGGTTCTTCAATATATAACTATATCTTTTGATATCTATTTGATGTTTTGCACCAAAAATGGCTCTGCTATTGGTACAATGAATCGTAATCTGGTGCTATTTCGAACCATTTTTTTAAGAACGTACTGCAGCCTGGATCTTAACTAATGTGATTAGATGGGCTCCATAGATAGATCACATATCGGTCATTAGATAGTCCCATTCTAAGGATGATTGCAAAGACCATCGTGGGTCATGGATATGGATGAGAATCCATAATGAAGCTAGAGACTGGCCATTAACCCTGTGCTGTAAATCTGAGAGAAAATTCCTGTTCATCTACGCTTGCCTCAACCTGTCAGGAGCTCTTAAATGCCAAATTCATGATGAGCCTGAGGCAGCGGTGACTAGATAACCATTTTTCCCCAAATGACCCAAAGCACTCAAGGGTAATTACCATTTTAGCTGCTGCTGACACAACAGATCCCCAATTAACATGCAGCTAAAGGAAATGACGAGCCATATTTTGAGCATTCATGGTTTATCGCTTTTGGATTTAATACTTAAATCATTTTTTCCCGCTTTACCGAATTGTTTAAAAGGCTCCATTCACTTTTAACCTGAGGACATGGATGTGCTTTGACAATCATTTAAATTTCACTTAAGGTTTTTTGTTGTTCAAATTCTGCTTTGGTTTGGGAAGATCTTTCTGCATACCAAAGCTCAGACATTTGCTGTTTTTAAAGTTTTTTTTAATATATATTAGAATCAGTTACAGCACAAAATAACATCAAAAAGGGGAAAATAATATATATAATTTTCTTAAGACATATGACTATTATTCTCATTGCTTTAGACTAAAATATGCATTGACCAGTAGGCTATGGATTAAAAATAAATTGAATTGCCATATATCTCCAATCCGAGAGTCTATTCTGCCTTTAAGTGATCAGAAACAATATTCCTTTTTTGCCTTGTTGAATTTACAGACGACTTCCTTTCAGACATAATACGGTAAGCAGCATCAAACAGCCTTACGCTTCATGTGATGCTATGATGCAAAGAGCAGCACTGTTATCCTTATCTGGTACATGTCGGTTACATAATCCCTACCGTCTGTGTTGTCCCAGAAAGCACAGAGGCCAAGCGCGACCATTGACTGATCTCCATTCACAGGATTACCCATCAGGCACTTCACATGGGCACTGCGTTGCGCTCGATACGCACCAAACCAAAATAGCGCAGGGAGACGGTGCTGATGCCGTTAGCATGCTGCAGGGAAAACGCTGATGCGAATAACCTGGATTAACATCGACGCGGTTCCCTCCCTTCCGCTCTCCTCCGCCGCCTCTCAAGCATGAGGGAAGCGATTTCCAAGAGAGACCGTAATCACAATAAAGCTTAATTAAGGCTCCAGTGGTTCCTTTTAATCCAAAAATCACAGGCTTTTCTGAGGGGATAGGGCAGCCTCTTCTCGGTTGAGCTCATGCTGTTACTTCTGGGCCATTAGATCTCATCCTGACTGATAGAGCCTGAGGGAAGAGCTGGTTATTTCCGTCTCACTGTCCCTGCTGTCTTACATCAGCACTGGCACTAGACTGACCTCAGTCCTGGGGCATATGGAAGCACATCCTTTTTGCTCATTTAGTGGATGCTGGGTCTGTGAGATTGTTTCTCTCATACGTAGCCTGAAGTGGCATATTTGTATGATTGCACTTTGCATGCAGAACCTGATCCTTCTGCTGGTCTTAAAGGAGAAGTTTGAAAACGAATATTTGGTCATGCAATCTTAAAAATAGAGGTTCCCGAAAAGGGGTTTTCGCAATTATGCCATAAAAAATGTTTGGTTCCCCAAAGAACCTTTCAGTGAACAGTTCTTAAAAGAACCATTTACAAATCTAAAGTACATGGTAAAAATCTAAAGAACCTTTTGTGCAGTGGAAAGGTTCCATGGAAGTTCTTAATGGAACCATCAATGCCAATAAAGAACCTTTATTTTTTAAGAGTGTTGAAAATTTGGTCATTGGTCATCCGTGAATCACAAAATGAGATTTTAGAGCAGCTTGGTCATCACATATTGTTGGAAAGGACATTCTGCCTAACCTTCTTATTTTGTGTTTCACAGAAGAAAGAAAATCGAGTGGAAAAACATTAGGGTGTGTAAATCATTTTTGGCTGAGTTATTCCATTAAAGATGCTCTTCTTATGAAACAATTTAAGGTTCGTATTTGGTCTTATGTTTAAATATGACATTTGCTCCACCCATGCACAGAAATATAAATGTGTCTCTCACTGTCACACTTTGGCTTATTTAAAACATCTGTCCTATTATAAAATCATGTGTTAGGTCATGCCTGGTTTTCGGCTGGTATTTTGAGCATGCCAGATGAAAAAAAGTATCTCCTGTCCCTAACACATTGCCAGAACAGGCTTCAGGGGCTGATGAGTCAGAGAGATGCCTTTTTTAAATACCCTTTTCCTTTGCTATACAAGTATCTTGCATGGACCACTAGAATTTTATATTGCAAAGTAAATAAACACCAACTTGTAACTTAGTTTTTCCTGATCAAAATCAACATTGAAACCAAAATGGGCTCTATTTACTTTCTTAATGCATGTTCCTGGTCTTATTGTGCATGATACATGCACATTATGCCTTTATAATCTTTAACAAAAATGTAATACTTTGTCAGACCCTCTTAATTTTGCCCACTTTTCATATTCCAATCAATTCCCAATTGATAAAATGTGTAGATAGATAGATAGATGCACAAGATCTGTCCTATATCTTTTTCATCAGAAAACTGATGTGTAACGGGTTTCTATGTTGATTTTTTAAGAGTTTTTTTAAAAGCAGCAGGATTGTTTTTAATCTTTGATCTGGAGTCACAAACATGCAGACATCTTTGAGACATTAGCAAAGGAGAGCCCATTTCTTTGCATGTGCAGCATTAAAAACCAACCAACTCATTTTTTATACTTCGAAATGGTTACTTCAGTGGGCGAACTTCATACTATGACAGCTGGTCGTTTTCACTGTGGGATGCTGCAATCCTGGATGCACCGTTGCATCACTTCTATTCCCATTATCCTTTAGCAGCGATCAAAATGGCAGAACCTGGTGTTAAAATGCTCTTGAAGCTTGTTTAAATAATTCAGCCTGAGGTTTTATCAAGCACAGCCTCTTGATTTACTGTGTCTTCAAAGCTCAGAGCAGTTGGCTTTGAAATTGAAAATGGGAAAACCTCTGAAAATGGAGCACCAGGACCATTTAATCACACCACAATCTGTCATTCACACATCTACATCTGCATGTCAGTTTCATAATATATGAAAAGACTCAGGAAAGTGGTAAATAAATCTGGTATCAGACTTCACCTACACACTTTCCCTCAACTTTGATTTTATATTCTTGATTCTCGGGATTCAAGCTGCTTTGATTCTTTATAGAAAACCTCAGATGGCTTTTTTTTATCACTTAAAAACAACCATATAATGGCGTACTTATAGTTGTTTGCACATTAAACTGATGTAGAAAGCATTTTAATATAATGGAATTACATTTCACCCTTAAATCATTAGGCCTAAATTATATTTGGAAATTAAATGTTGCGTCCAGCAGGACATTACAATCATGTATAATTTCCCTCTTGGACAAAGTCAACACACTGCCCTTTGTTTAAGTCAAGTATATGCTTTTCTGCTTCCCATCTCTTGAAATATAATAGATACGTTTAAGATTGCGACAGACGTTTTTGTGTTTCTCTCTAGCTTTTTGTGTGTCATAAACCTGTAGATATGATGTCGACTGTTTTGCAGCTTATTCTTATTCAGAAAGAGACTGTCAGACTGACATATTAAACAATAAAACTGTTTGCTTTTTATGTGATATGAAATGCTAAATCATGTGCTCACAGATTTTAATATCTTGTTACCTAATGCCTCAAAAATTTCAATGATTTAATAATAATCATTAACATTAATGTCCAATTCAGCAAAATTGTTCCTTGGAGTTTAAATGCAATATGTATGTGTGTATATATATATATATATTTAATGATGTATTTGTTATATATTCAGCAATGTTATATGCTGATATGAAGTATTAATGATATTAATAATAATGATTAATATTTTGCTGTGTGAAGTTCAGGTACATTATTGTGTTTATATTTATAATATATAATATTTAGAATATTACGTATATATATATATATATATATATATTAGTATTTATATTCATCATAATATATTTATGTATTCTGCAATATGCTGTACACTGCTATGCACTAATTAAGTATTAAAATGATTTATTTTGACCATTTACCAGTTAATATTTTTACCATCTCTCCACCCCATTTCCCCATTTTTCATTTTAAAGTTCATTCAATTCATAATGTTTCCCTGTTTTTTTTTTGACACATGTAAATCTTCATTGTTCCGAATGTTGTGTTTTCTCTTTAGGGTCGTATCTGCAGGAAAGCAGGCAAGTCTAAGAAGACCTTTAGTCGCAAGGAAGCCGAGGCGACCTTCAAGAGCCTTGTCAAGACCCACGAGAAGTACGGCTGGGTGTCCCCTCCCGTGTCCGACGGCTGATGTCAGCATCTTCAACCGCGATCCCGACATGGCTTTTTCATCATCAAACTTAACTACGAAAAAAACAAGCTAGCGCATCATATCTTACACATAAACGTGGCACATTCACCTTCACTCCGTCCTTCACTCTTCTTCATAGAGGTGCCATGGACCGAACACTCGCTGCGACATCACAATTACTCATAAGTGGGCGTCACTGCAGCTACATACAGCTATGGACTCTGGATACGATTGAGGCTCCAAGCAAAGTTAAATGTGCACCATCTCCACTCTATATCCTTGTCTATCTGTCTGTGTTGCCTCAGTTTTTTTCCTCCATCCATCCCTCTTTCCTTTTATAGCTGACAATGCATTGCACTGAACAGCATCAGACTTGCCCCCATTGACATGCAAATGACTTAATAGATAAGCAGATCATTACACTACATTTGAGGTTCAGGTTCTCTGGTTTCCTCCTCATTGGCTGTGCTGTTTTTCACGGTTGGATGCAACATGATGATTGTAATTTATGTAGAGCTGTGCTCTTTCTATTCCTCCGTTCGCGTGGCAAAATGTAGACATCACTGTGTTGCGTAGATGGTCATTGATTTCCAATGGAGAAAAAATACTCTAGGGCTTTGTTCAGACAGGCAGCGAATATCTGATTCTTTTTTGGCAACATCCGACTCGAATTCAATTGTTTCTTGAAGTCTGAACAGACAAAAAAAACACATTGTGTTCATGTCCATATGTGGTTTGGAATCCAAAATTTTAAGATCTGAATCAATCGTTTTAGCTAATTTTTCCTCAACTGTTTGATTCTCACTGTGTCGGATAGTGAACAAGTGCACGAGTCAGCAGTTGTGGACACAGTATATGCATGAATGCATAAAGATGCCTCTTGTGAGTCCAGCACCGCCACGAGATGCCATGACAGACAGTGAGCAGAGGCAAAATTCCCAGTTTTCCGTCCTCTCTTCCCACACTGACAGCTATATGAGAAAGTCTGGCATCGGATATCGACTACACAGTCTGAACAAACACACCACTTACAAAACGGATTGATATGCAGTGTGAACAAAGCCTTCATTGCTTATGCAGAGGTAAAAGATTTTAAAAAATGTGAACCACCTCTGTTGGTCATTCTATTATTTGTTTTTGGAGAAGACCAAAAGCTCTTAATTCTGATGATTTAGATACCAGATGGCATTAACGAATGTCAACGTCCCAATGGGATCTTAGTATTGGCGAGAGAGAGGCATGTGACAGACATGGTGATGTTTGCACATCAGATGTTGTGCGTTTGTCCCCATGGAGCACTGAGCGACAGGACAACGCCGATTGCGCAGACCTGAACCCTTGTTAGCACCGACGTAAGGATAGTACCTTAACTTGGCACCTTCACAGGCCGACGCCCCAAACACGATCAAACATTAATTGTGCTGATTCACTTGTACCATTTTGGCTCATAAATCGATACGCTCGTGGTTGTGGGCCTGATTCCTCCACCTTGCACTGACTCTGCATCACTGTGCTGTGTACTTGGTCAATACTAGACTAGAACAACAGGACAAAATGGCCGACGGCCCAGGAAATCAGATCTCAAGACTGTAAACGTTGCTCTCGAATTGCATAAATCGAAGGTCAAGCTCTGTTATGGACTCTGGTAGCTGGTGCCGGCACTGTTGACGAGAGCCAGATGAAGAAGTACAGAGGTGGGGAGAGAGAAAGAGACGCTGAGGGGGCGACTCTTTTGTTCTGAAACCTTGAGGAATGAGGGCGTCTCGTTTAGTTGCCTGATTGATGCTCCGAGAGAGACGCAGCTCGACGCCTTGATGTTTATTGACTTCTCCTTCAAATGTCAGTGTGAATCCAGAATGCCTCAGACTGCATCTTGTGAGCGATGAGATGTAGAAGAGCTGTTTATTTTAGATAGCGCTCTCCACAGTGTGTGAAATACAAATGACATGATAGCCGAAAAGGCGAAATCATGTTTTTTTTTTTTGTTGACAAATTGGGCGTTTTAAAGGAATAATTCATCAAAATTATGTCATTTTCTTACATGTATGGCGCTATATCTTTGGTGAAACACAAATAGAAAACGCTGAGGTGTGTTCTAGATGCTGTTTTCCATAATATTGTTGATCTTAAAAATAGTCTTTCGAAGACATACAACAAGGAAAGACCAAAAATTAAGAAAAGAAGTAAAAAAAGATTTAATTAAGTGGATTCAAATAGGGTGCATTTAAACTCCACGAGTCATATTTGATGTCTGTGGCATTTTGATGTCCTTGACATGATCAAACCTTGTTGATTTTGAAGTATGAATATGGGGAAATGTAAATAAGAGCTACGGTGAAGGGGAAGATAATACAAGATCCCACCTTTTTATGGGATTTTGTTGGCCACTCAATGTTATCATCAGAAGTGTAAAATATTGTGCATGTGACACTTGACCAACATTATGATACTTTTATGGTGCATTTTTTGTCATTTTGGAGCTGGACAGAATCAGTCTCTATCAGCTTTGATTATATGGAAAAGAGCAGCAATTACATTCTTCAGAATACCTCCTTTTTTGTTTTATAGAAAAATGTCAGTCATACATGTTTGGGTGCAAAAACTATGACAGAGTTTTCATTTCTGAGTGAATTATTCCCTAAAAATGATGCTTCAAGGTGGGAAAAGTCCGATTTCCTTGTTGTGAGATGCCGTTTCATATATTTTCAGGATATTCTTCTCCAGACATGGAAACAGCATGTGCCAAAAGCTTAATGTACATTGTCACCATTTCCTTGTGTGTAACTGCTGCGCTCTCAGTAGAAGGACTCTCTGCTATCACTGACGATTTTAAATGTCACATGAGAAGCTGCTAATTAATATGGCATTTGAACAAAAAAACAAAAACAAATGATGAAGACACTGATGTATAAATGATAAAACCAGAAATGTTGATGCCCTGAAGGCGGATGGAGGGGAAACAACACTGTTAACCCCTTATTGATATTTATTTCTGTCTAGTAGCTTTTTGTGTTATTGATATTAAGGTTATCCAATACAATGAATGGTGAGTGTGCAGTGCTTCAAAAAGCAATCCAGTGGCAAGCACTACATTTTGCTGTATACAGTGATCATTTTATCCTGGTCATCAAAATAAAATACACGTTGATCACTGGAGAACCTGTAAATCATGTTCGTATCACTGCAGCCATTGTAAAATTATTGCAGATTTCTGTGTCTGGTCGGAGATGGTTTCTCTTATCACGACTGAAGTGCATTTGGTCTTCTCCAGACTCTGTTTGGACATTATTAAAAAGTGGTCGTGTGTTTTCCTATTTAGCGAGAGGAGATACTATACCAAGGACTTATTATTATAACCAGTCAAAAATATCGCGAAATTGGATGTTTTCCGGTTTAAAGCATAATTTTGTGATTATAGTTTAGATCAGTAGTTTGCAGAAACTAACTAACAGAGTTAATCGTCCAAACGAGTGAGATGATTCTGTTGTATATCTGCATGTGGTCTGTGATTGTTAGCTAGCTAACTTTTCTTTTTCTTTCTTTTTTTTTAAAAAAGCAAGAAAGTAATGAAAAAGAGCAGAAGCCGCTTCTTTGTATTTTTGTTTGTTCAGTTTGTCCTAATTTTCTTTATTAATGTCCTTAAATGTCAAATTGTGTTCTATGAATGTGTTTTAATTTATTTGTAGTTTGCCAAAATGAAGATTTTGAAGCATGTTGCAGGCATTGTCACTGATGATAAAAAGAGAAAGAAAAACAAATGAAAAATATATATATGTACCTAAATTGAAAGAAGTCTGGTATATGTAGTGATCTCAGGCTTTCGTGGGGTGAAAGGTAAAACTACAAGACAATGTGTTTTCTGCACTGCATAAACATCATGCCAGGATATGGTCAGAGCAAAACCAAACAGGAATGTGCAATAAAGGCTGTAGGCTGATTCCACCCTGGAACAATTTTGTGTTTGTCTTCCTTGCTCTCTAGGCTCTCTGCAGTCACTGAGGTTTGGAACATGCGGTTTTGTTCCGTCATGTGGGTTCAAGGATATCAAATCACCCGTGACGGTGAATGATAACACCAGCTTCTCACCAGATCCCCATCAATGCAGTGTGCACTGGTCCACATTTCCCCTCATTAAGACCATATGCAAATTTCCAGAATTGATGTCACAGTAATTATGATACAGTAAAACAACTCAAGTTCATTTATAAGTTTAAATTAAAAGCCCCTGACATAACAGCTCATTGCTTTGCAGAAAAAATAATGAGTTGCTATGGGTCCTGCACAGTGAAATGTGCAACTGTTACTATATCCTGGGTTTTAACACGGCTAAATCACTGTATCGACCAATCAGAAACCAGGACTGGAGCTATATGTTTTATAATGGTACTCATGGTATTATATTATACAGACACTATTGTATGTATAACTAACATAATAGTCATTGTTATCATTTATAAAATATCATTTAAATATATAACATTTGAGTATAGTGATAAAGTAAAGTCACAATGCAAAATCTCTTGTATTTGATATTCTTATGATTTTTGTTAGACATTAATACTGTGTGTGTGTGTGTGTGTGTATGTATATATTTTGGGGTAATATATATGACCCAGTAGCTTCTTAAATGGCTTTAGAGAGGCTCCTACCTGTAATCTGCAATAATTTAAGGCGAATTCAAGCAATGTCAGGTAGTCATGCAATATTTACCAGGTTGAATTTTAAAAATAAAAAAAAAAATATCCTTCACTATATATTTACAGAGGGGCACAATCAAATTTTGTAACAAAAATATCAGAGACCTGGTAAAAGGAGGGCTCTTTGGACTTGAGTTAATTAAGTAATCACCTAGCAACTGCAAAGCAATGTGCAACAGCCACTCAGATCAGCTTAGCAACACCTTAGAAACATTGCTGCAAGTGTTGTACGGGCTGCAGCACTCATTTCCTTTCGTTGTAAATTGAGTTAGAAAATGTAATTAGCTCCAGTCACAGATTAGACAGAATACAGCAGTTGCATTGCAGATCCAGGAAACAGTATGCACAGAATGAACGAAGGACAGCAGGTCTCGGCTGCTCTGCCCTGGAGCTCACAAGCACACTGAAAAGTACCACGTGTGGGCGGGTCATGAGGCCCAAACACATTTCTCACCTAAAGAAAACACTTCTCACATGAACCAGCCTCAGTCACCGCCTGTCTGAGCTGAAAGCACCTCAAATTGATCCCAGAGCACAAAGCAGTTTTCTCAAACCTTTCTCGCCATGCAGAAAGAAAGAGAGTTTGGTCGCAAACTCTTATGCAAGAGAACGTTACATTTCATTGACAGTATTTCAGCAATAAAAACGTTTGTACTGTTTCTCAGTCGGCTAGTTTGAATGACAACAAGCAATGCCCGATTCAGAAATGAATGACTCGTTTGAGTCGGTTCTTTTCAATGAATCATCCGAATAGATCGGAATCATCAAGATTAGCTGCTTAAGTTTGAATCGATTGGAGCGATTCCGGGATAAATGACTCACTCAACTGAATCAGTTGGGCGGTACTTCGAACGGCACAGAAATGTTCGCGCAACGTGGATGAATCGTAGCATTGTCTGACTACAATCAAATATCCAGGTGAAAACTAACTTGTAAAATTATGACGAAATCGACTCTAAAATGCACTTTAGAAGAGAAACAAGGTGTGCATTATGATATATGTGCTGCTAATGAGGTAGAAGCTGACACCAATGAGCTATTTTATCTCCTCAGCAAACAACAGAAAATAAAGGGCAATTTAATGCTTTTATACCTTTTTTGAAGGTATTTTTAATAAATGGACATCTGAAGACAGTAAATATAACAATTTCTAATATATCACACATTAAAGTTATACAGTAGTTTAAATGTAGTCAGTTCTATGTGTAGCATGTAGGCCTAGTGTAACTTTTTTTTATTTAGTTCCATCACAGGTACAAGGCAAAAAGTACAAGGCAAATATAAGGCAATGTTGTACAGTTTAAAGCATGTAAAACAGAATAACAACAACAAAAAAACATAAAATGAACATAAACATAAAAAAATGTAATAAAAAATACTAGGATAAAAAAAAG